ATATATTATATATATTTATTATTATTATTTTCTAAAAGAAAGAGTCTGTCAATTATAGAGAAGGATAAAAAATGTAATTTAAAAGCAATAATTTTAATCCGTATTTAATTGATCGAAAAAAGACACGAATATGTCATCAAATGCGTACATTATCGAAATATTTCACATCTTTACATGGATTGGACGCGATTAACATGGTCTTATAGCAGAATCGAAATCTTTTATCTTTTTATTTCTTTATTATTAACATTAAGAATAGATTAGTATATACATAAGATATACTAATCTGTTCTTAATATTAATAATAGAAAAAAAGTATAGTAAATATTTGCATGATTTATATTTATTTGTTTCGTGTTGTTGATATTAAGAACAGATACATATTACATATACCAAGAAATGAGTCTTTATCTCAAACTTCATTTCATGTTGGAATTTCTATTTTATGTTAGATCATGATGCTGATTCATGATTTATCTAATTTGTGCAAAGGTCGAAATGCAAATCGATGTTATAGAAAGCAAGAAGTATATTTACTCGTAATAAATTATTCTAATCTACTATTAAATTACATGAAACCACTCAGTTATGCGATTGCGTATCAAGACTGACAATATAATTTCCGAATACTTTATAACTGAAAGATGTATTTAAAATTTACAAAAAAATATTATTAAGCACTAAGATCTATCCTTGGTTATATTTGGCGCTTCTTTACTTATTTATTGATTTATTTATAATTGCTCTTTATCGCGTTCTTATGTATCTTTTTCGCAAGATACTAAGTGAATGCATTGGCAGGATGATCATGTAAACATATTTGCAAAAATTTTTACTTCACTTCACATCCAAGCAATGAAATAATTGTACTTGCAATCATTATCATTTACATCGTGTATTTCTGATAATGCGCTCATCGACACGCTCATCGTGCATAATGTTTATGATGATTTATATAATTTTTTCGTATCTCTCCATAGCGACAGGCTACTTTTTCTTTAATTTTAAATCTGCCTGCTTCGTTTCGTTCACGAAATGATTCACTATCACGAATCTTGCCTTCAATCTTGTGCAATTATGTTAAAAATTTTCAAATCTAAAAACTCCTCGCGTGATTTAGCAGATTATCGTAAAAAGAATGAGCAATCATGATTATGATCAAGTTTCAAATAGATCAAGTTCATCATGGTTGTGATAAAGCAAAAATGGCTTCATGACAACTCGCATTGCTTTGAAGGTTTAAATTAACTTAAATGTTCTCTACAATCATCTTTATCATAGTCTTTATATTCGCTCATAAATCATTTGAAACACGCATGCATTCAGGTAGATATTTAAGTAGATTTTTTCTTTAAAAAAAAGCTAAGATAAATTCTATCAGAATCTGGTGTTTGATGAATTCAAGAACTGAATAGTTCGAATTATCAAACATTATTTGGCTAAAATAAAGAAAAATAAAATAAAACAAAAAATATGTAGGATAAAATTGTAAAACAAAAACTTTATACAGTTATCACATTAACAAGACAATAGAATAGATTAAGTTAATTTATCTAATCAGTTATTTTTATTTTCGTCGAAACTGCAATAGTTATGTAATACAACGCTACGTGTAATTGTACCATATTCATTGGAGAAGAATTCCTGTCAATCAGAATAATTTAAACGTACATGGAAGTTCGGTGGATCAGAACAATACATATACAAACATTGTATAAATGATTGTACTCTTTACGACACGCAATTAAGTTACAAACAATCTCAACGGGTTCCTAAAATAATCATATAAAAATAGTAGAACATCTCTATCGAGCACATAATTCATTTCACGTTTTATAATTCATCCTTCATTTGTTCTACAAAGTTATACGCACTACATCAGATACGTACTACCGTGCAATTCAAATTCAATTATATACAGACATCGTAAGACTCGTCCCGCCTAACTTCTGAAAGTTGAAAATGAAGTTAGTTTTTTATACGTAATATCTTTCCGGTAGGAAAGAAGAAATTTTTAAGAATTCAATTTCCTAATAAATTTCCGCCGATTTCTTTCATTTTGCATTGACATTGTTGCGGGATAACAAAATCGCGATTCCATAATCCATGTAAAAACATCGATTAACATTCGTGCTGCAACAATGACAATCTAAAACATTTGTGCCTAATCTACATGTTCGCTTATTGCGATTTTCTAAGGCGAAAATACAGTAATACGATTAATGTTCGTAATGTAATTCGAAGGAAGATTTTTCTACTTTCCAATTATTTCTTCTAATTTCGATTTACATACATTTTATGTCACGCAATTCATTGTTATTTTTCGTTCACATCGGACTACAATCTAGCACGTTCAACAATCAAAAAATATGAAAAAATTAATATTAAATTTTACAAATCGTTTCACTGTAATGCCCAGTATTATACGGTATTAATTTACCGAAGGCGCTTCTCATACATTTTATTGCAATCTGAAAAAATGATTGTTATTCTTACAAAAATTCTGATATTACAAAAAAAATGCTCGGTATAATTCGATATGTTACATCAGACATTCGTTCAATAAAGTCGTTTACCTATTATTTCCAATTCTAGATACACAAATCAAATACGTATACATGTTTCTTTCTTTCTTTGCATCTGTCAAAAATGTATGTTCAAAATCTATGTTAAAAATTTTAAATAAAAACATAACGAGTTATCAATCTTCATGTTAAAGGAACGTTAAATATGTTCTCGATTAAAACAGTCTATATTTTATAATGATCTTTAATCGTCCGTTTTATGGCAAATGTTTTCACAAGGAAACCCATGTGATTATAATTTGTTAATAAATAATTATATTAATTATACAGTCAGTTAAACATTAAGAATTGTTTAAAAATAAAATTTCTGAGTTTTTGAATTAATGATTTAAATGAGCACGAAAATATCTATATATTATATTATCTAATAACTTATTTTGTGCATATATATTTGCAGTCGTTTAATATTTAACACCATACTTTTCTTGGAATTAAACTGTTACTTGTTATCGTTCACAATTCATCGAAAGTGAGGCGAAAATATACATCAACATCTTTGTATCACTAAATAAATTAATAATCTCTATATGTTATCCTAAAGTCTACATATATGTATATACAATTTGAAAGTCTGATATAAAGTTATCTTCTTGGAAAGCATAATTGAAAAATTAGGAACGTTATTGTACTAATAAAAAAGTTGAAATAAAGTGAAAAGAATGTAAGATAAGTATCATTTTATAATAGCAATTAATTGATCCGACATCAATTTTTCCATTCCTTTTACGTTATCCTATCCCTTTATATCGTCGTGTAATATTGCTAATTTCTAATCCTCTTTTTCTAAGTACAGTCGAGTACAATTCTCTAATGACGAAATATCACTTTATAATTATCACGACGCTAAAACAACAATTCGATTTGTCTGATAATTGATAATTGGATGAAATCAGTCGCGTTAACACGATCGAATTATATCTACGATAAAATCATTAATATCATATTTTACGTTAGTCTTATGAGATTTTAATAAATTATTTTTTTATTTCTTATCTGCAACATACGATCTGCTTCTAGTTGAAGTTAGAGAAGTCGGTTTTTAATTTGATCGATGGCGCGGATATCTTGATCTGTGGTTTTATAGGATCGACTGGCCGGGTATGCCGCTGCGCCTGCTGATGACTAGTCCTTACGGCATTCTCCAATTTTGTTTTCAATTCGGTGGACTGTGACATTAATGTCTTAAATTCCTAACAATATAAAATAATTATTAGATATTCTCATACCATTCGGGATTAGAAAATATTGGGATTTAAAAATATTGTACCTGCGGATACTTTGGTCCGATCTTATTGAGCCATTGAAAACTCTGTTGATGGAGGCTCGCTTGATATTTTGTAGCGCGCTGGAGCTCATCTCCTTCCAGTAGGTAATTGATTAAAATCGGTACAAGTAAAGTCAGCATTTGAATACCTAGTAATTTCACAAAATATTATACGTATGTTAAACTTATTTGAAATGTATTGTTTGAAATGTATTAGTAAATAATTAGTAACTAATTAACACATTAAAAGATTAGATTGAAGACCACACTTTCCACACACCTTGTAACAGATCTCCTGTATAGCGTGTAACACATATCGCATTGATGTTTTATATTAATGTTCCACGAGCATTAATTTTGTGATAAAAATTTATAAGTTCAAGTTCACTAAGCTAACTTACGATTAGAGAGATCAGCGAGTCCTATGAGGGCTTCTACCGTGCTGATGCACTC